GCCTGAATATTCAGAAGACCAAAGGCAGATGATTACTAGTAGTGTTTCTCTAAGCTTAGTACTGGGGCCAATCCTTTTAATATCTTCATCCACGATCCAGCCAAGGGGATAGAATGCACCAAAAGTTCATAAATGACAGAAGTTGGGTGGGACTGTTGACCTGCTGGAGGGCAGGAATCCTCTGCAGGGGGATCTGGATAGACCCAATCAATGAGCCAAGGCTATTCGTTTGAGGTTTAGCAAAGCCAAATGCTGGGTCCTGCACTTTAGTCACAACCCCCTGCAGTGCTACAGGCTGAGGTAAAAGTGGCTGAAAAGCTGCTCAGTGGCAAAGGACCAGGGAATGCTGTTCAATAGCAGCTGAACATGAGCCAGTGTGTGCCCAGGTAGCCAGGAAAGCCAAAGACATCCTGGCCTGTAGAAGGATTAGTGTGGCCAGCAGGACCAGGACAGTGATTGTCCCCCTGTACTCAGCACTGGTGAGGACACGCCTTGAGTGCTGTGTCCAGTTCTGGGCCCTTCACTACAGGAGTGACACTGAGGGGCTGGAGCAGGTCCAGGGAAGGGCAATGAAGCTGGTGAAGGGTCTGGAGCACAAGCTGAGTTCTCCTGAGTTTAGCCAGGAGAAGTCTCAGGTGGTACCTTTATCACTTCTTTAACAACTACTTGAAAGGAGGTTGTAGACAGTTGTGGGGCGGTTGGCTCTCTCTTCTTCCAGGTAACAAGCACCATAATGAGAGGAAATGGTGTCAAGGGAGGTTTAGTAGGGGTATCAGGACTACTTTTTCACTGAAAGGGTTTGTCAGGCATGGGAATAGACTGCCCACAGCAGAGTTAGAGACACCATCCCTGGTGGAATTTAAAAATATGTAGATATGGCACTTAGGGACAGGAGTGATAGACTCAGCACTCAGATGGACTAATGGCTGGATTAATGATCTGAGAGGTATTTTCCAACCTAAACAATTCTCTGTTTTTATCTAAATTTATAGACTTTTTAAACCACAATTTAATTTCTAGGCTTTGTTACAATGAAAAACAATTTTGCAATGTTTCAGCATGTATTTTAATGTTTTTCAGCTAAAGAGAGGTTGCAAGCTAATTTTGAATCTTTGGCTCAAAGCAGAAACATAGGTAGTTCTAAAACTTTCAATTTCAGTGACCAAATATATTGTAAATACAGAAATCACTCACTTCTAGCATCCCAAAGACAAATGATTTTAACAAAAAAATGCACTATGTATTTGTGGCGTAGAGCTGTAGTATCAATTGTTACTATTACTATAGGAAATTAATCAAGGACACACAAGAACACATTCATAGTCTTGAGTTTTATATTACTTCCAAGCATCTGCTCTTACTGTAAGTATAAACATACCAATAAATGCCACCTCTGATCTATTCTTCATGCTTTTTATACTGTTCTTAATATGCCAAATTTTTCAAAAATAACATGCACATCAAAAAACATTACATAGAAATATTTTAGAACACGGTATTTATTAACACAGTACTACAGGGCCACCCTAAAAATCAGAGCTGGAACATACAACCCTTAAGAGCCAAAAGAACTGGGCTTATTTAGCAGAAAGTAATTCCTGAAAGTGTTGGGAGAGCACAACAGCTTTTCAGAATCCAAAAGTGGGTTACCTAGAAGACTCTACTGAAGTACGCAGTAAAAAAACCAAAAGAGACATTGGTTATAAAACAAAACAATGTCAGTTAAGACTTGAAATAAGGAAAAGATTTTTCGCTATGAGGATAATTAACCTTTGAGCAGGTCGCCCAGAGAGGCTGTGGAATTGTCAGTTTGTAGGTTTTCATGATCCAGCTGTACAAAACCTCAAGCAAACTGCTCTGACGGCAGTATTTTTTCTGCTTAAACAGGAGACTGATTGCTCAACATATCTCCTGATGTCCACTCCAGAAGGAATGAGTGAGATTCAGATCAAATTCAACCCACTAGTGGTGTGTTTCAGGACACTTGATTAAAGGCAACTGCACTTGTATTTTAATTTAAGAGATCTCCTTTAACTAAGCTATTTCATTTCAGCAAGGAATATACTAGCTACATGAATGTTAACATTCCTTTTGGTTTTTAAAGTCACTTTTGCACAAGGGCAAATAAGACTCTTTCAAATGTTTCAGAAAGAGAAGAAAGTTATGAAAAAATGCCATTTGAGTAGAGGTTTATTATCAATGCCTTATTTAGCGCAGATTTAAGTTTATCACAACTTTTTATCTATGTGCATTAAAAAGAAACAGATTAAGCAGCAGTAAGGAAACGCTGAAATGGAACACAAATTATTTTAAACATGAACACATTTCTTATGCTACATCTTTTCCATCTCTAAGTGTCTTCAAAATTGAGGGTTTGAAGGAACATGGAAAGTATACCAGCAGCTAATAATTTATCTATTGATCTGGAATCATCTTCAATTTGTGATTGTGAATCCACAGTTCTAAATTCACATAACATACATCTACACACCAAAGTTCTTTAGTATCTTTTCCAGAATATGTGTAATGTTAATAATTGTAAGGATTAGAGACACATGAAAGAACGGCACAATGGACCTTAAACTGAGCTTCTTATACTTAATTATAGCACATGTACTGAACTTGAATAATAAAATTTTGAATAAGCATCACAGCTGGTAAGTATACTCAAATTTCAAACCCACTTTGAAGCCAAAAAGAAGATGCAGATTCACATTAAAAAGAATCAAAATTCTTTCCCCATATTTAGGAATATCTAAATAATATTCCTAAATCCATAAAAGAAAGATTAACAAAAACTGTGTAATTATTTCAGTCTTTTATTCTTTCAAAGCAGTTTTGAAACATGAAACAGGAGCTCTGTAAACATATGTGATCAGTACCGGATTCATCAATTTTACCCTGAAAACTAAGGAGATTTCTTTTTGACCTGTATGAGTCAAAGCTGTACTTCAGGAAGAAGTCTGCATCTTATAGTTTCAAGATTTAAAATCATCTTGTATTCCTACACTTTGGAAACACCCTGGAAAATAAAGTAAAATCAATAACCAAAACTAAACCCCTTAAAATTAGCTTGCCAAAAAGCATATAAAATAGATATTCGACTTAATCCCACCTACACTGAGAACAGTTTATTCTGGAGCTAGACCTAATGTATCTCCCCAGAACAGATTGGAAGGATTAGACTTATGCAAGCTTTTGGTTTTTTTCCTCCACTGCAGACAACTGTATAAACGTAATACACTTAATCTGTAAAAAGATTAATTTCTAAATTACTGAACAGAAAAAAAAATCCTGGTATAATTCATAACAGAACCTCCCATGTCACCAGGTGTTAAAATCCATAGCCAAATTAAAATAACGAAGGAATCCCTCGCTGGATCCATCTAGGTGTATCAATCACACAAATTTGACTCTCTCTATAAAGAGTAAACTTTGAAAAATTGAGCGTATTTTAGGAGTCCATGGTACCAGCCAGATCGCGACGGATATAGGATAGCCTAAAAGCGTGCCTCTACCTCCCCTCTTTGGACCCTCTTCAACACTATATAAAACTCCAACCACACCCACCTATGATGTCACTGCCATTACACAACCTGTCCCCCTCCGTGCCTGTCTGCTTATGCAACTCGGCCCGGCCTGCTGGGAATTGTCTTGGTGACACTTAAGACTGAAAATAGGTCTCTCTCTCAGGAAACAAGGTTAAATACACCAACGGAATTTCTCTTTGCCCGCGCACAGCGATTACCCAACACAAACCGAAGCAGAGCCCACGGACTCCTCTGTAAACAAGTCCCACAGAAGCGTGCGGGGGGAGACACAACGCAGCCCATGCGGGACGCTCGCCCACCCCTCTGGAGTAAGCAAAAGCAGGTGTACCCCACTAGCAGGCTGGGCGCCCACCAAGGGCCGGGCAGCCGCGCGTCCCCTCCACTCCGCTCTCCCAATGGAGAGGTTCCTCGGATCCTTTCAAACTCGAGAAAAGTTCGGACGCTCTTCATCGGCCCGCGTCGATCGCTGACGGTCCCGCCGCACTCGGGGATAAGGGCACATCCACCTACTCCACCACACCCCCAGCCCCACGAGCCTGCCGCCCCGGGCCGCTAACTCGTGCCGGTCCCGCCGGGACACGGGCGGCACCGGCGGAGACCGCGCGGCTCTGGCGGGCGGCAGGGGCGGAGGAAGGGAGCGCTCCCCACAGCCTTACCTGCTCGCAGAGCCTGGTTGGCGGCGCCCAGCGCCTCTCGGAAGCGGCCCTGGGTCAGCAGCTCCTCCAGCCGAGTCCCTGCCCTCGCCCTCTCGCACTCGCCCGGGAACCACTTCTCCGCCAGCCGGTTGAGAACGACGCTGGTGCGCAGCGGGGCCGCGGCCGTGCTGGTGCCCCCCGCCGGCAGCAGCCAGTCCCGGCAGCGGCGGCAGCGGGCCCGCAGCTCCCTGCGGAGGCAGCGGCGGCAATAGGTGTGCCCGCACGGGACGGTCACCGGCTCGCCCAGGAACCTCCGGCAGCCGCAGCAGCGCAGCGGCCCCTCGGCCCCGCGCTCCCGGCCCCGGCACGGCCCCTGCCGCAGGCGGTAGTTCAGCACCAGGCAGTCCACGAGGGTCCCGAGGCGCTGGGCTCCGCCGAGGGGGCCGAGGCACAGCGACGCCAGGGACGCGCCCACCGCTTCCTTCAGGCGGCTCGCGGGCACCAGCCGCGCCAGCAGCAGCTCCCGCTCTTCGTCCGCCCCCTCGCCGGGGCCCCCGCTGCCGCCCGGCTCCGGCGGCAGCTCCGAGCCCACGGTGGCGGCGGGAGAGGACGCTGCCATCGGCTGCGCGGCTGCGGCGCGAAGGGGGTGTGGCGCTCCGCTCCAGACGCCGGGACGGGCCTCCCGCTCCAGACGCCGGGACGGGCTCCGGGCTCGGCGCGGGTGGGGGGCGGGAGGGGGCGGGGGGAGGTTACAAAACACCGCTCCACGCGCGCGCCGCCAACGGCGCGGGGTCACGTGGGGGGACGGGGCGGGCCCGTCCGGGAACGCCCGGCTCGGGGCGGCCGTGCCGAAACCCCCCGCGGCCCGCCCGGCACCGGGGAGGGGGGAGCGCCCCGGCCGGGCCGGGCCGGCTGGCGGGGCGAGAGGGACAGCCCTGCGGGGTGACTCCGGGGAGCGGCTGCCGTGGTGAGGGTCGGGCGCCAGCAGGGCTGTGCGGGAGGCAGGGATAGAGGGACAGAGTCACCGGGGCCGGGAGAGGGTTCTGCAGCGGGGAACGGGGGTCTGTAGCTGCCGTGGTCCCGGAGGCATCACCCGGCGGGCGCCCGCCGCCCTCTGCTGCTACTGCTCGCACTCGTCTTGGGCCGCTTTGGCTTGCCCCTCTTCCTTCTTTGTTAGTCTTTTAATGGAGGACGCGATAAGATAAAAGTTACAAGGTTAAGGAAAAGCTCTTTGTCCTTAGGGCTTGTTTCCCCCCCTCTCTCCCCGAGTGTTCGCAGCCCTCGCAGGACTCGGACGCGCCCGGCGGGCAGCGAGCCGCGCTCCCCGCCAGTGTGCTACCGAGGCGGGCTCTGCGGGGAAGCACCTGATCGGTTTCGCCTAAAGTAGTCCCAGTGCGAAATGCTTAGGCTTTCCAGGTGAACGCCAGCCTCTAAAGGAAGCTTCAAGCCTATTGCATAAGTGCTATGTATTTATAATTGTTACAGTGCCTATTTTTTTTTTTTTAACGTTAGAAGGCTGTCATATATCCAGACCTTTCAGATAAATATAGCAGTACCTTTAAAACCTTCCAAGCAAAGTTTGCACATCAGGAAAATTAATATATGACTGTACGAAAGGAGCAAAGCTATATACATCTTCATCTGTGTTCCATGTATGGCAGGCTGGAAGATGATGCTAAAGGTTGTTAAGAGAGCTGTAGGCAAAGATGTCATGATTGGAAATAACTAGACACATCTGGATTTACATTCAAGTGTTTTGTCTGACCTCAGCTACTCAAAGCTTCATCCTTTGCCAGTGGCTTTCAAGTTCCTAAAGTCAAAGAAAAAAGATGTTATGGTAATTGAAGCATGAGGGCACCATGGGTATATTTTAAATATGGATAGGAAAGATGGTCTCTTACAGTAATTAATTTAAAAATTGAGTGAGTTAGGAAATTTTTGATCTAAGGATCAAAGTAAAGTAGATATCTGTAGTGTGAACTTGAGTTGTGATGGGATGTTGAGGATTGCTTTGAATTATTATGAATGGTTTTAATGGATCACGGATTCTGGTGTGGACATGTCAAGCATGAGTTGACCCCTCACAAAGAATTTGAGTTAGCCAATTTGGACAAAAGTACTTCTCTGAAAGAAGCACTGTTAAACAGTAGTTTATTTTGCATTCCAGATTAGATTACTTATGGAAATACAGAAGACAAATAAAACAGGACAAACCCAAGGGTTTGTGGGATTAGAATTAGAATAGTAAAGCTGTCCTCTGATGAAACAATTTAAAACAGTAGAAATTAAAACATGTTTCCACCATTGCCACTTCCAATGATTCCTATTAAAGTTCATACATTAGTGATTCAAGCAATCAATGCAATCAGCTGTTTTACATAATTTCCAGTGTAAAGGCACAAAATACTCATGGCTTTGCCAGCATTAACAATCTGGAGCAGAAGAATTGAGGTTTTTCCCCATTATCTTTCCGTGAAAAACTGAAACAGTGAAACAAGGGATTTAAAGTGGGATGAATGAATAGACGGGTAGGGAACCTGACATTTTTTATTGCTCTCACCAGTTGTAGAAATGTCTGGTATCTGGGAGATTATTTACAAAAAAACTAGACTATATATTCACCTGGTCCTTATTCTCTAGACATTATTTTTTATCCATGTTGGAAATGATACTGGGCCTCGTTAGACTGTGCAGTTACCCAATGTTAACACTCTTGTGTCTTTGAACTACTGTTGATTCTCTGAGCTTTGGTTTTGGTGTATTATTCCACCTTTTGCATATTTAACTAAACAAGGAAAAAGCCTTCAAATTTCAACATTTTTACTGTGTTACCATCAGGATGTGATCGTTATGTAAGAGAGGGAAAAAGGCATTTTCAAGATTAGATAACAGGCAGCTCCACCACCACTCCATTAAAATAGTGCACTCAAAAAAACATTTTTTTTTTTTTTCCCTGCTTGTAGGGTCAGATAAATGATATTTTAAAACAGCAAAGCCTTGCCCTTGTGCAGTTCATGTGGGCCATTCTAAGAAAGACTTCAGGGACTGTCCTTTCCCTTCCTGCTGTAGAGCAGTATTGTACTGCTGGTGATGGACGATTGTGGCTCTCATTCAGAAAGGTACCTGCGGAGCACTGTGCCTTCAGTATAGTGAGGTAGGAGTAATTCCTTTCTTATGCTTTTTAAGGTATTGGTTGGATGTTTTTCAAGCAATTCCTTGTATGAGTAGTGTGTTTAACCTACATGAGATGACAATAAAACAGTGGTTTAAGTTGTATTTGATCCCACTTTAGTTAAATTAAGCACAATTATTGTGATTCAAGGTCTTCAGAAATTAGCAGCAGTATAAACAAAGTAAAGCAAGACCAACCCAGATTAGGGAACAGGCAGTGGACCTAAAAATTAATGCCTACATACTGGAAATCTGGAGCCAAGCCCCATTTTTACAGGTTCTAGGCATATACCCCATGAAGAAGTAGTTAACCCAAAAGATGTGGTTGTATTCTAAGAGAAATAATGGCTTTCTGGCTGTTTCTCCTCTTTTGTTGTGAAGGTAAATGCTAGTTACCCAGCTATTGTAACTTTTTGCAAAGATATGTGTAGCAGAGGCAAAATAAAATTAATAAGAGAAAGATTAGGCAAATAAGAGTCATGCTTAGAAAAGCGTAATATTCCTGAAAACTATTTGTTCTACCACGAAACACTTAAATATAATTTCTTCTAGCAAAAAAAAAAAACTCTCCAAAAAAAAAAGGAAATATCAAACCATATTTAAAATTCTTGAATGGCTTTTGAAGACCTTAGCTGATAATGCTTGAGTTCCTTCAGCCCTGGTTAAAAAATAATGCTCAGAACCAACTATGATTTGTTTTGTTTCAGGTTTTCTTGGTTGTTAAGTAGAATTTTGGGGCTTTAGTGAGATCTGGCAGAGAGATTTTGAAATGGAAAAATCCGCAGCATCAGAGCAGTAAAACAGACACTAATCCTTGTTTGTGCAACACAGTGGTGGGCAAAAGTTGGTTTTGAATTTTTTTTTCAGTTAGGAGTGGTCAAAAAGCTGCATTTGCAGCTTGGTCTCAGAAGGTAGTTACGGTAAGCTGAACAGGGCTAGCCTGTCAGCAGTAGTGTGGCCAGGAGGACCAGGGCAGTGATTGTCCCCCTGCACTCAGCGCTGCTGCCATGCCTCAAGTACTGGGTCCAGTTCTGGGCTCCTCACTACAGGAAGGACATTGAGGTGCTGGCACAAGTCCAGAGTAGGGCAACAGAGCTTGTGAAGGGTTTGGAACATAAGTCCTACAAGGAGCAGCTGAGGGTACTAGAGTTCATCCCAGAGACTAGTCTTTCCAAAAGGAAAGAATTTTAAATTAACAAGATTTATTTTAGATTTTTCTTTTGGCAAAGGTAAGAATTCTAGCATTTGTATGAAATCTGTTAAATGTAGTGACTTCTGCTGCACAAAACCAGTTTTTAGCTGTCTAAATAAGCTGCTAATTAACAAATAGTCAAGTGCTCATTGGGATTTCCCTTCAGTGTGAAATCTGAATTCTTCTTCATAGTATAATAGTATGGCAATTGCCGGTGGATAAGGGACAGACTGGATCTGGTCTGCCTAGACTTTAGTAAAGCCTTTGACAGTGTTTCCCACAGCCTTCTTCTGGAAAAACTGGCTGCTCATGGCTTGGACAGGTGCAGTGTCCCTGGCTGAAAAGCTGTCTGCATGGCCAGACCCAGAGAGTAGTGGTGAGCAGAGTGACATCCACTTGGCAGCCAGGCCCTAGTGGGGTTCCCAGGGCTCAGTACTGGGACAAGTTTGGTTTCATATTTTGATCAATGCTCTGTGGGTAGGGGTTGGTCTCTTCTCCAAGAAACAACCAATAGAATGAGAAAATGGCCTCAAGTTACCCGAAGGGAGGTATAAATTAGCTATAGAAAAACTTTCCTCACTGAAAGGGTGGTCAAGCATTGGAACAGGCTGCCTCGAGCAGTGATGGACTCACCATCTATGGAGGGGTCTAAACCACATGTAGATGTGCCAGTTAGGAATGTGGTTTAGCAGTAGACTTGGCAGTGTGTTGTGTTAACAGCTAGACTTGATCTCAAAAGTCTTTTCCAACCTAAATGATTCTCTGGTTCTATGTCCTCATTTTTGGTTCAATTACAGTTTTGGAGATGTCTGCCCACTTTGTCAAAAGAGCCCTGAGGAGCTCACTCCTGCTGGGTGATTTTGGATTTGGGGCAGTGACACCCAGAACCAGGAGATGCTCATCTCCTTTCTTCTTTCCCAGTTACCAGAATCCTAGTTTGTCTGTGGTGCTGAGAAGTCTCATCTCCAAAAACAATTTTGAGTCTTAGCATACCAATGTTAGGGACTGATTTTTTTTTCTCTCCAATTAGAGACTACTTGTTTTGAGTAGATCCAATGACACTTTTGATATTTGTCTGAATGAGATTTCTCTCACTTTGATGATGATGATGATGGCAGCAATACTTGTCTTAAAAATACAAATGACAAAGATTGACCTCAGGGATTAAAAGTAGAGTGTATAAAAGGAATGAAAGTTTAGAGCAGATTTTATCTAAAGACATAAAATCTCAACCTAGGGGAGGCTGAGCACATAAGTTTCCAAATGTGACAGAACTGACAGCCATGACTGCCAGATGATCTGGGAAAAAATCTGGGACACTGGCTGTAGCTCAGCAAGCAAGTATTGCTTACAAGAAGGAAGAAAAAGGCATTCACCAAGTATAGACAATTAAGCTACCTCAATAGTACATTAGGGATGTAGAGCACATTTTCAAGTGAAAAACTAATGGGAGATGTAAAGCTAACATGAATAGCATAACCCATAACCCTTGAATTTACATAACATAGATTAAAGTCAACCTAAGTAAGTCTGCTTTTGTTCTTGTAATGGAAATTCTGTTCTGCAGACGGGCAGTGCTCAGCTCTCATCTCTATAGACTTGAGTAAAGCAGATGATGTAATGAGCCACATGGAAAATTTTGACTGAAACAGAGTAAGGTGGAATTGCTAAAAAGTTGTCAGATCCTAAAGATCCTTTTAAAAGCCTATGGAAATGGATCATGAAGAGCTTCTGGAAACACACTTCATATGCATTTTTTGAGGATCAGCTTTAGTACTAATTTTACTTGATATTTTCATCAGTGACCCTGGCACAAAAAGGCAGGAAATTGGTCTTTTGCTTTGGCAGCAAGTAAGAAAGTGATGTCAATAAACTGAGGAGAAAAATGACAGACAGAAAGAAACCGACCTGCATGACTACTGGGGTAGTAGATATGAAAGAATTGTAGTCATGCAAGTGCCAAACCATGTAATATATTGAGAAAATTATTGCTAGACCCTGAGAGTTTATTAACAGGAAATGCTAGAAGATGAGAAAGAACAGGAGGCTATAAAAAAACCTGATAGCAACCTAGACTTTTTTTTACTGTTGAGATAAGGAATTACTCACTGTGCTCTGTGTGACTCTGGTGAACAGAGTCACACAACAGACAGATCTGATGAGGTTATTTGTAAAAAAAGAGGAAGTGTAACTAACTGAAGGAAGAAGAAGATAAGTGGAACAGATTTACCATACAACAAGAATTGGAGAAATGATTGCTCCTCTGTTGTCTTGCCAAAATGAGGATGGAGAGGGGACATGGTTGCCCTATGTAAGTGATTTATGAGAACAGATAGCAAGTGACACATGTGAAAAATTATGAAGTAAATGACTAAAAGAAATTTAGATTAGGAGAATACTTCTGAGAATCTGAAGTGAGATTATGGGATGGTTTCTGAGAAACAGTGGGAGGATTTAGCGGCTGTCAAACAGTGCTTGTTAATGCCAGGACAGGGATTACCTGATGCACTAAGATGTTACAGCAAGGGACTGGACTCAGTCTGAAGAACGGAAAACAGTTAATCAGTAGGAAACAAGTTAGTAAATAGAAGAATAATTGACAAACTGCTGCCTAGATTTTTCAGCTATTGAGTCCACTCCTTACTCTCAGTCATTGTTACACAGTGAATGTGAATCTCTGCAGGGCAATGAAGGAACGGTTGCAAAGTCATGAGGACCACTGTTGAAATATTCCCCAGGTCCTTGGAAAAAATACAAACTCACTTAGGGAAGAAGACTTTGGAGAAGTGTGAGAAGGAGAGGGAACAACTTCTTCGTATGAAAGACAGCAGGAATAAGGCATCCTGACCCTATACTCAGGTTAGGATACCCAACACGCAGGACTGACAGAGAAGGTAGCTGCTGTCAGTGCAGCAAAATATCCATACCCCCATGGAGCCATAGAGAGGCATGTTAGCCACTACTTCCATGGTCACCAAAATTAGGTGGGGAGAGAAAGCAGCAAAATCCAAGTTTAGCCGCCTTGAGCTTCCTTTAGTATCACTCCAGAGAGGAAGTGCTCATGGCTGCTGCTCTGCCTCTACAAGCCATGCATGGCCCTGGGGACTTCGCAGAGATGGTGACTATTTAAACCATTACCTTTTGCTTTTCACTCCTAAATGGCTGTTTTGCCATTCTCACTGCTTTAGCTGAACTGGGCATGTTTCACTTCAGGCGGATCCAGTGAAGGACAGAGCAGGCCGTGCTTATACCTTTGGTGATTGCTCTAAATGGGAAAAGACCAGTTGAGCTGAAGTTGAATCCTCTCATTGGAAATAAGCTTATTACTACTAATAAAATTTTTGTTGAATACCATTTTATTATTTTTTAAAGATCCATACACAAGAAACCGGCAAAACCAAATACTTCTCTGAGACATTTGGTATCTCTCTAATAATATTTTTGTAATTGTTTCAGAAGGAAGGTGTGCAACATAACAACCTGCAAACAGTTCATACATAGTCATGCCTTCCATGTGTTAACTGCTGGGGAATGGCTTCAGATTGCTGCACATTATAAATTGTTACTTATTTACCATGCCAGTTGGTGACCAAGGTAGCATATGTGAAATGAATTTGCAGTTTCTATTACTGTTAGTTTAAATTTTCCAGTGCAACATTTTCTCAATGTAAAAGGAAAAAAAAAAAAAAAAAGTTACCCTTACCCATCAATCAGGAAGGCAGTGCTTTGTAGAAGAGTATTTATTCAGATAATCTGACAAAACATGGGTAAGTTTTCGTGAGAAGCATTTTCCAAATATGCATGAAGATAGCACTAGTGGTTTGTGTATATTTCCAGAATAGCTCTACCATGGGACTAGTCCCCACATGTCTCTAATCTGCAAAGTCCCTGTTGTAGAACAAGAAAGTGATTTTGGGAAATCCATTTCTTGTCAAAGGTCAGCTCCTGGCTCCATAGCAATAGCCTCCTGCCATGTGTCTGTAGCTGCAGTTAAAAAAATTTCTACTTCCAAATTTCTACTTCCAAATTTCTACTGAATCGGCAACCAGGACCTTGCAATTTTGGCTTTGAGCTCTCCTCACATAAAAACCATGGTATGCAAAATTAGTAATGATATATACATATTAGAGAAAATCAAGTTTTTCTTGAGAATCCACAGTAATTTCCAACTTCTAGAAGTAGATCTGTTTAGAAAAACATTTTTACTTCTTCATCCATGAATAAAAATATTTTGCTTCAGCTTTATGGTATTTATTTTTTCCTAAAGTAGTTAAAAGTCATTAAAATTGATGCTTGATGTTTGAGTCACTTCAGCCCTGGCTAAGAAATAATGCTCAAAACCAAGTTGGTTTTGTTTTGATTCAGTTTGTTCTGTGTTGCTTAGTAGACTTTTGGGGCTTTAGTGAGATAGTTCCAGCAGAGAGATTTTTAAATGGAAAAATGCTCAGCATCACTGCAGTTGAACAAACACTAACCCTTGTTTGTGCAACACAGTGGTAGGCAGAAGTTGGCTTTGAGTAATTTTTAGTTATGAGTGGCCACAAAGCTGCATTTGCAGCTTGGTCTCAAAAGTTAATTTGAACTGAACAAAGCTAGACTGCTACCACTGTCTCTAGCATTACTGTACAACACTGCAGTGTGAATTTTGCAAGGGATCTTAATTCCCTTTGAGAAAATTTGAGCTATGAATTCTCAGTTCTTTTGAAAGAAACCAGCCCAATAGTATGTTATTTAGTTACATGGTAATTATGTGTGCACTAGTATGAGAAAAAATGATCTCACACAGGATAAATAGTTAACTAGATCTCATTAAAAATAAAAAGGGAGGCAAAACATAATAGGATCTAAAATACTTAGGTAAAGACAGAGAGTTTATGGGCTTGATCCAATAAGGGACTTAAATACCTAAGACAAAGTTTATGGAGAATTCAGGTTCTTAAGTCAAAAAATGAGATCACAACTCATGCAGCTACTGCCTAACCCAGGAGTGCCTAAAATCACAAGGTTCTTCCTTGATTGTAATCTGTATCTTTAGAGTGTCTCGGATTTTGCTTTTGTGCACAGTCAGTGTGCAGCTACTAGGGCAGTCTAGGCACTTTTTAACATTCAGCCATTTGCAGTCTTCAGCTGAAAAGTTCAAGGACGCTCTTCTGTCACAGGCCAAACCAGGCACAGCTTTACATTTTGAAATTCTTAGGTTGTTGTAGTTGCTTGCTTTTAACATGAAAGACGGAGAGGTAGAATAACCTTTTATTTAACAATCTCTCTGTTAGATTATTGATACAAGGATAATTCTTGCACATCACTTCTGTTCCTACAGACAACAGAATTCTTTGCTTCATTGTGGCATGACTTTTAGGAACAGGGCAGGATCATCTTAGTTTTCAATAGCCCTGTCTCTTGCTGGATAGGATCACTTTTCTGCCCTGGATTGATTTGCATATTTTATTCTTAAAGGGGAAACACAAACAATGGGTTGCTGTATAGGAGGTGCTTGTTTTCTCATTTCCTTCTGTTAAACTGGCTGTGATTTAACAGAATACTGCAAGCCCTGCTCCTCATTCCTTTTTTTTTTTTTTTTTTTTTTTTTTTTTAACAGAATGGTAATTGGATCCTACAGTTAGGAGGACTCTAAGCTGTGAATTTTAAGCACGCAGTGTTATCTGTGTTGTGGCCTGACTTAAGTTTCTAAGGAATTGCAATAATGCTGCTGCATTTCTGGGGTTTGGTAAGTCTGGTAATACTTTGACACTGTGGAACTGACTATCCTGGAAACACTAATAAATGGAGTCTCTCATTTTCCTGTTTTCATGTTCATCGTATTTTTTCTTTTCCTATATGTGATAATATGTGGTTGTAGATTCTAAAGTATAGCTGAATGCTTCTATGTGTGCAAGGAAACAAACTTATAAATGTGATCAAGAAGGTATTATTTTAAATTACTCCAGCTTTAAAAAGTAACTTAGCTCCAGATATGACATGAATCATAATTGTCTTTCCTTCAGGAAGAGAAAACTTGGACTGATCAGACTCTTTCCTTCAGCCATTGTTGCTTGGTAGGAGAGATGCATATAATCTACAGATTTATAGAATAGCTAAATATTCACTGGAAAATGTGCTCCTATTAATATAAATTGTAATTATTCAAAGAGCAATGCACTTACAGGGTGAAGTACTAAATTTAAAGAGATAAAGTGCAGGAGCTCTTAGTGCAGAACTGTAACTGAATGATGAACAGAAACCAAAATAATAGCCAAGGAAGTACTGAAAAGGCTTCAATTAAAGAAGGCTTTTTATTTTTTAAATAAAACTTGCTTATTAAGGAAGTGTGCAAAAAGCAAATAAGTCAGCATTTTTAATGTTTATCAGTATGTTTTCCTTCAGCTGAAAGTTTTTGCCTAACAGTTATGTTGAATATCTCACAAATTTTTTCTGAGTTTTTATGTATTCAGTCTACAGAAAAAGTAGAGGTTGATTGGTTAAAAATAATGTATAGCAAAAGAAAAGGTAATGATTTTGGACATGTGTTCTATATTCTAACTTGGTATTTAAAGAACAATTTTTGTTGGTATCTGTTTATATAGTCTCTAATGTTTGCTAATGTATTTCCTGATAAAATATATATATCTTCTCTAATATAATCCTTGCTATCAAGCTGGATGTTTTGTATCTCTTTACGATTGTCCTCTGAGATAAATAACATTGAGATACATTTGATGTTGAATATTGTTTGCCAAATAGGAGCAGTTCCTTTGAATTTTTAATAATTATTGCTCTTCATTCTTATTCAAGTAAAAAAAAGGGAAAATTAGAGTTATTGCATCATAGTTGCATTAAGGTATGCCTGTATTGTAAAATCAAATCTTCAACCAAACTAGAAGGAAGGAAAAAAACTTATTATGCTTGATATCTAGCCTCTTGGAAAAAACCTTTCATTTCTGGATGGTCAATAATAAATTGTCAATTAGAGTTTCAGTCAATTATAATATATCTTAAGAAATGCATATAGAAATCAGAAAATACTTGGCAACCTACTTATACTGGTAACTGGAAGGAAAAGCTCTTCATTTGTTATTACTGGATTGAACTGCTGCTAGTATTAGATAAATTGCTGAGTCTAAATAAATCTAGATAATGATAAAATAGCAATCTTTTAAAATTCTGAAGAAGTTGTTAAAGTTACAAAATTCGTGTTTACTTACTCTTCTTAGGTTAGCTCTTTGGGATAAGAGGAGCAACTGCTCCTTGTGTTGTAGATATTTGTCATTCGTAGAGTTCCACAGAGTTTTTGCATGTATATCCACTTTTTCCGTGTCTAATGGGTGTCCTTCCTTCAGAGGTTTTAGAACACTTGGCAAATGTTTTGTATCAAAGAGAATAGGAAATACATGATTTTTCTTCAAAGCTGTGTGACTTGTACTCTTTACTAACTACAGTGTTATGTAAAGAACATGAAGTTAACAAAAGGCAGTTACTTTAATCACACTGGCAGAAGGCCATTAATTAAATCACCTTATTTGCAATAGTTTACCTTTTAGCAGCAAAATGAATGTTACTGTTTATTCTGACTATTCAATATTCTTTTTCTACTTTGGCTTGTACCTACTGGGTAACCCGTGTCCTGTTTGCTTCTTGAACATTAGTAGCATCACGAGCAGCACATTGTGTGAGACAGGGAGAGCCTATCCATAGGCTGAGATATCACAGCCATGTCTTTTCAACCTCTCCTACAAGCGTGCTACAGGAAATGTACACCTTTATTTTACTTGGGCCAGAGACACCAGATGGCAGGGTTCAATTGGGAGACCATTAGTCTCCATTAGACCAATGTTTTTCAGTGGAGCATAGGATCATACAGGAGAGAAGTGAGCACTCAGATTCTTCATTTCAGCATGATTGCATAAAGAACATTGTGTTTTCGTCTTTCTCCCACCTATATGTCTCTTTCACCATGTTCATAGAAGAAAATAATTGAGTATCTGGTCTTTGGCTGTTGTCCACAAATACTCTGTCTAGAGACAAAAGAAGATTTAATTTAATTGTTTTCCATTCCTGAAAATGCAATGCAACATTTTTTTAAAAAACTCAAAGGTATATTGAACATAATTTGTCCATGCAATTGTAACAAGTTTCAGTCATACTGAGTCTAGGCTAGACACTTGTTCACAGGAGGCTCTGTGGTAAATAGCTCGTCCCAGAAGGATTCTATGTGATGTATTCTGTCCTTGTCATACTATATATAACCATTTTAGGGATCTTTTTTAATGATTTGCATCCCTCAATTTCTGATTGCCCAGGAAACGTTTCACAAGGGCTGAAAGACTGTGATAAGCCCATGCATGTGAGAGTATTTTTAAAATCATCTAATATATTTTATTTATCTTCATATTTCTACCTCTAGTAAAAAAAAAAAATCACTTTTTTTTTTTGGTGAACAGCTTATCCCACTGTTTTTCATGAGTTTGCTGATGGGCTGGATCTGTTTTACATTTGTGTTTGGCTATGCCGGTATTGATAGATCACTCGGGGGCCCTGCCTTACTCCCAGTTCATGCTTACCCTTCACTGGAGAGCTGCTAACCTGACAAGCTGTTGCCATAATTTTTCTTTGTGACATACTGTAGAACCTTCTTGTTAAAAATTCCTTGGTTTGTGTTCTGGGGCTCTTAGCTGTGGAGATTTGATGTATGGCTCACTCTTTAAAGTTTCATGGTTCCTGTAATATTTCATCTTCCTGCTGGTACTGATTTAACACCTCAATTCCTGGCCATAAATTTAAGCCAAAAGTTAACTATGTAGACTAGCTGTAAATATTTATTATTAATCATAGAAATAGAAGCTATGACACGTTTTTCTTTGTTGTTTTTAAACATTGTAATGGACTGCTGAGGGAGGCAGTGAAGTCACCATCCATGGAAGTGTTCCAAACAACTGGATGTGGCACTTAGTGCCATGATATAATTGACAAAGTGGTAATCAGTCAAATATCTCAGAGGTCTTTTCTGTGTTTCATTAAAAAAAATGTTCTCAGAGGTTTTTTTCCTTGGTACCTGGATCATCTTAATAAAAATGATTAGTGGAAAAATCTGGTTTTTACAGGACTGATTTCTGGGGGTAACAGTTTCCCAGAATTTTTGAGTTCTGCAGCACCATTAACAAAATTAATAGTTAGTAATTGATTTCAGGTTTAAAAGCAGGTTATAATGATTGTAGAGCTGAGTCATATCTTAGACATAGTAGCTAAGTAAACTGTTCTGGTAAAGTAAACAGTAATACATCAGAACAAAAGGTTTCTGAATAAGCTATTTGCTGATAAATTACAGCATAGCAGAGCTTGCCTGTCAAGAATGAAGCAAAGAAGGCGTCAGCCTATAGTCCTTTTTTATCCGGAAGTCTTTCTCATTGTAAAAGATTTACATTGTAAGGAAAATACCAAGTATTTGTAGAGGGAGGTTTCAGTAGAATAAGTAATTATTGGGAAGGAAGAAGCAATACTGAAGGTATATTTTCCAAAGACCTCCTACATGTATATTTACATAATGGGACGGATTGATACTAATGGGACTGAGTCCCTCTTTTCCTTGAAATCACCTCTTTGCCAGTGGTGTAAAGTTGGCAAGTCATGGATGTAGCTGCTTGCCTACTTTCTGGCATGACCTAAAGAAAAATATACATTGTGTTCAGATTGTACCATAGCTCAGATTTCCCTGTGCCCACAGCCCTTTTGGGAGCACAGTGTTAACTGTAAGCAACCCTTGAGCCTTCCTTTCCTGGCCCAGACAGAAGCATATGAGTGATAATATGCATCAGTAAACATGAAACAAGTCTCCAGTCTTGGTACTGCTTCATTTTGCAACAATGGCCTCCTTTCTAAATCCAAATAGAAAGATGTAATGCCTTTACCAATTCTTACTGCAAATAACAGTTACTCCATGGAATGACTATATTAAGAAGTCTTGCTTTGAAATGACAGTTTCAAGGTGATTTACATAAGAAATAACAATGCCTATAGTTAGATTGATTGTTGTTTTGAAGTAAGGACTTGTACAATGTTTTTGTCTTAGAAGTTTAAGCTACTTGATTTTTATTGTTTCATTTTAGTTTACAGAATACTGGATTATACCTTCTCTTCCACTATTGCTTCTATTGCATATCTTATTCCTACAATTCTCATATTATTATTCTATTAAAATAAAATATATACACCAAAATATATATATATATGCACCTGTGAAAAAAAGTTTTTACATATTAAATATCTAAATATATTTTTTAAAAGTTCCTTTTCCATTAGCATCTTTAAGCATTATCTGGAAAAAAAAGTTTTAAATGAAGAGAATAATAAGTGCTTTAAATCTTAAAAAAAAAACCTACCTGCTTGCTGCACTTTTAGATCAGGGGAAGGACGTGCAGGTGGAGTCACTGGTACCAAGTGGGAGCTGCTGGTTGGGTTTGTCCTGCAGCCAAGGGCATGTGCTGCCCAGTGTGGGCTTGGAGGCCAGGCTGGACATGCAGCATGGAGCTGGGGGAGCTGCTCCGCTTCCCTGCTGTGGGGGTCGCTGCTCCTTGGTGTACAGTGGTCCTCTGGTCAGGATCACCACTGCATATTAGATGTTATAGAAAAGGAAAGGATCTTCTGAACGTTTATAAACTGTGTGTGCATCCCTCCAAAGCAACCTGTTTTAGTGCCATTAGTATTGTCTGTGCTCGCCTGTATTCCTGCTTTAAATGCTTTGAGAAGACACTGCTATTTCTCCTGCAGTGGAGATACCATCTTGTAGTTCCACTGCTTTGGCTCCTGTAGTTAGGATTAGGCCTTAGCAAAAAAGTCTGTGAAGATTCTCAAGGGCAATTAAAAATTGTGAAGCAAAATCATGATGATTATTGAAAATTCCACTGTTACCATGGAAGGTGTTAGATAGTGCTGAATGAGATTAGGAAGTTCTTTTAATAAGGCAGCATCCAATTTCTGTTTTTCTTTCATGTAGAACAGAAGTTATTTTTTAAATTTTTGCCCACTCAGTCAAGTTGCAGACAAACAAATACACATCTTGGATTATTAAAAATTTGGAATTACTTTTATTTCTTTTGAAACAACAGACATAATATGCTTTATTTAATGTAAATTCAACTCTCAGTGCTTTCTGTTTTAGGATGGTACCATCCAGGAATTTTAGAAAGGTTTGATGTGCTTATTGTGCTTTACAAGCTCAATTCTCTGGCCAGAATGTGTTTCTCATCATGAAGAAGAAGATCCATATATCTCCAGGCAGACGTTTTCCTGCAGGCTTGGCCCTTAGAAGAAAGGAATTTTAAATTCCTGCTTGACTTAGTAAATGTGCTGAGTGGGAGATATATTTATTCAGTGTTTAATAAACTAGTTGGGAACAATTTTTCAGATGAGATAGAGAAAAAAATTGTAGTTTGAAATGATGTTTAGTTTTCCCACTAGAAAATTGGCAGTTAACAACTACATTATTTGTCAAAAAATCTTTCAAGCAAGAAACTAAAGTCAGCTCTATTTGCACAAAACTAATGGTCCAACATTGTAAACAGTTTTTAATAACTTCTTTCATACATAATGCATCCCAAAAGCAACATACGTTTGAATGCAAAACAACTGCACTTTTAGGAAAGTACAAATAAAAGACAAAAACAGAGCTTTCTGCTAACCTTTCAAGTAATTATTTATTATGAAAAGTTTGGCTGTAAAGCTTTAAGGACTGAATTTTGCATTGAGGTTTTCAGTAGAACAGTACAGTTATTGTACACAGCAAAAATAATAAAGAATTTTTTTAGTAACAGGGAGCAAAAAATTATTTTTTAAACTATTTTCATACTATTATGCATAACTGTTTCAGTTAGGCAGGAGTTTTACTAACTGTCCTTTATATTTATTTTGGTTTGTCATCAGATTTTGAATTTCATGAGTCCCACAGGACAATTCCCATTTGTGATCTGCATAATCCTCATGGGAGGCATCCGAGTTCTAGGCCACTAGGCCACCAAAGCTTCGATCATTATTAGAGATGGTGGATGTTTCGGGTGTTGGGCAGGAATGTGGACTCACTTATGCTCACACAGAGAAATATTCCTGCACTTGTATGTGCTTTTAGGAAATTGACTCCTGGCCTGACATGCTCTGGCTCTTGAGGAATGGAATACACTCATTGCTGGTAGCTCTGTGAGCAGCTGCAGTGCCAGCTCCGGGTTCAGCTCTGGTGGTGAGAGCCCCAGACAAGAGGCTGTGAACTGGAACCAACCTTTGCCCAGCAAAGGGCACAAGGACCTGTGGTGCCAGGCAGGGCATTGGGCACTCAGACACACGGCAGGAGCTGAGGATCTCCAGATCTTCCTGTACATTGACTGTGAGGGTATAAAACCTCGGGTTTTTGTTTGGAGCTCCTTCTTGGCAACACCAGCTCAAGCTGTTATTCTGTTGTTGTACCATGATTAAAATATTTGAGGGATCCAGACGTCTGAGACTCTGCTATGGGAAACCTGGAGTTGAGCCAATAGGGAAACCTGATGTGCCTGTGTGAGTGGCACGTGTGGCTGCAAAGGGACCTCAGTGCCAGCATGGGTGGCGTGAGAGTCACTGGCGGAGTGGCTTCTGAATGGTCAGACAGGAAAGTTTCCTTAACACATCCTTTGGTGGCCTCCAGTTGTGTTGTGTCAGAGCAGAACAGGTCAAGACCATGTACATGGTTTTATGCCTTTTGCTCTTGACTTAACCAGTTTATCTGCACAAGTGCTAGGGCAGTAAATGCCTGGCATGCCCACAAACTACCAGCTCATTTTGAGCTAGAAAAATTTCCACAGAGGTCTGTCTCTAGATGTAGACAAAGGAAGCAGATGCCAGTGGCTGCTTGGAGCAGTTACTTTCTCTTCTATCTGTGCCAGAGCTGCAACACAGTGTAACTTCTTTTTGCTGCTTTGCTGATGTTGAGGGAGGAAAGTGTGGGAAATCACAGAATTGCAGTTTTTGCAGAGTTGTCAGTGGCTCTTTCCAGCCATTGATTTCATGCTCTCCTCCTTTTCCTCCTACTTTATGTATCATGCAGCCACAGAAGTAATACTTGTTTTCTAGGAATTTTCTCTGACTTTCTAGGCACAGTTTATTTCATCACCCACCCTCCACCCCTTTTGTATGACAAACCCTTTCTGGAACCTCATACAGTATAGAAGTGTTATGAGAGATGGTTTTTAGGGAAAAAAAAACTCTTGCAGGAGTATTAGTAGGAAGTGCTTGTGTAGGAGTATGGTGGGAATTTAAATTTGCTTTGACAAACTAGTTGTTAACAGTGAATGATGTTTTGAGTGACCATTTGTACAGCAGAAGTGGAGTTGTGCTGGTGGTTTTGCAACAGTGGACATTTCCAAATATTCCATCAATATACATACAATTTCAAGGTGACACCACTGCCAAGAATTTACAGAACAAGAGGCAATAAAAACAAACTGAAATAAAAAATAGGAATAATATTTTTAACCATGGTGGTGGTCAAACTCTGCAGCAGTTTGCCCAAAGAGCTTGAGGAGTCTTCATCCTTGGAAATACTAAAAACCTGAGTGGATATCGCCTGAAGAACATGCTCTAGTTCAGTCTCCTTTGATCAGAAGGTGGACCCAAGACCTCCAGCAGTGAAAACTCAACCTATTATTCTGTTGTAAGAAAAGCATGCAATAATCCCTTTTTAAGTAAAGGTAATTCCCTGAAGTATTGTTCTGACTTCCCGCATTTTGTGGTTCACACACTTCTGAATACATTCAGTTGTCACTTTAGAACCTTAATTATTATACAGGATATAAGTGTAAATTACACATGCAAAAAAACTAGACACCAAAATCATTGTTAATGAATAGCTCCAGTTTTATAGTCACTAGTCAGAAATATTTTAAACAATAAAGAGACGGGTTTTTCTTTCTTTGAAGTCTGCAGTTAAAACTTCAGTTGGCTTAATGAGATGAGGAACTTTATTCATCACATTTTATATCTAACAGAAAATAGAAACTTAAACAAAATGAATAGGTTAGTTATATATTTAAACAGTCTGTAAAACCCAAACCTCAGGTAATAGGAAGTTCCCTCCAACCATCAAGCAGCTGTTTCTGGTCTGCTCTTTGCACAATGCACGAACTGCTGCATGCCCACCGTGGGTGCATTACTTGCTGACATAATGGTCTGGCTGCTTGGCAGAAAAGAGCTGGGAAGCTGCATTATTCTATAGGAAGGCTTTTAAATGTGTAGAAGCAGCTTGGGAGTGCACAGTTAAGGAATGGGCCAAGCCTTGTATGTGACAAGACATACTTTGTACTTTGCTGGACAAAGAAATCTCTTGATTTTTCATGTTTGAAAGTGGAAAATATTATTGTTCTGTTTGATAAATGAAAATGTTTGTCTGCAAAGCAAACATAAAAAGAATAGAATAAACATATTTTCTCACTAAAGGGATAGTTTCAGGAAAAGAGGATTAAAATTCTTGGAAAATCAGTGAGGCAGCTACAAGTGTCAGGTGATTATATGGCCTTATGTAAGTACAGTGGTTGGTGTCTAGCCAAGTATTTCTAAAACTTATAGGGTAACTTCACATTTAGGCAAGCATAAATCTGAAAGCACTTCAAAACTCAGCAGTGTTAGCTCCTGTGTTAGAGTTTCTTTTAAAAATGAAAATAAAAACTTTTTTTTTTTTTTTTTTTTTAACTACAGGGAATTCTTAAAGGGGATGGTGTAGTTAAAACAGGGACTTCCAAGAACTGATTTTTATTTTGCCTTTCGTGTAGATCCCCTGTACTGTAAAGGACAGGCCATTTTTGTAGCTTGATTTCTCGCATAATTATAGCAAACATATGTGTGCATATGACACTGAAAAAATACAGTGTGTGTTGGTGGGTGTGGCTGGTGGGTGTATTATCTAGTTGTTGTATGGCAGTGTATTAAAATAATTTTGTTACTGTTTTTGTTTCATTAAAAAAAAAAAAGGTCCTAACTGGAACTAACTGGGAGAAAAAAAATGGTTTTTTTAACAGAAATTTTACTCCCATTTAGTCTGGTAGTGCAGGTCTTAATAGCCTGCTTCTGAAGGCAATCTGTCTTAAATGAGTAATTTATTTGTATGGTTTGGTAGGATTTTTTATAATGCAATATTTTTTCAAAGTCTCTTTTCTTCCCTAAGATTGCATTCAGAATGCATTTTTTTTCTCTGGATCTTATTTTGCTTGTACATCCACTTTTTTTTTATATCATGCACAGTTTTTGTGCTGTTTATATAACATCACTTTTCCACTTCAGGTTTGATTTATCTTTAGACTTGTTGAGAGACACAATACCATTGAATGATTCTCTCAGACACAGGCATTTAAATCTTCAGGTATTTAAAAGGAGAAAGGGAAGATTTTTCACTGGCGGAACATTGCTTGAAGGGATGAAGATGCCTGGCTAAATCTGGTGAGTACTAATTAGATAGAATTTGTCAGTCTGTCAGTAAGTCTTACAGATTTTCTTGATCACATACTGAGCATACACAAAGGAAGAGAGTAGATACAGTGAATTTAAGAAAGGTCTTCAGAATTATATTTCTTTTGAAAGAGATTTATGAACTGATTTCTAGCAGAAGCATAAAATGTTTCCATGTGACAGCAGGATGAAAGATGTCAGAGAGATCTCAGAAAGAGAGATAGAATAGACAAGAATGCATTTAGAAATGTATTAGCTTTTACTGAAAGTCTAAATTTGGACATCAGAGAACTTCTGTAATGCCTGCCAGGCTGTGTTCTCTGTCCCACAGGGCTTTTAGCACTACAGTTGCCCACTAGGCAGCATCAGATGAATCATCATGAAAACTGAACAAGACAACTTTACTTGAGAGAGAGAGAATATAGAGTATGAACAATCCAACTGCCATCTGTATGTTTTCCTGATGAATGGCATTATCACATCTTTTTGTGCCAAATGAGTAAACTGTTTTCACCACACAAATACTGTCTATTCCAGCACATATTACATGCAAACTACCAGCACAAATTTCAGGGTGATGTTTGCAATGTGAATTCACTCTGCCCGTTGGAATCCTATCCAACAAGTTCTGGTTAGAAAAGTAATGCCAAAAGAAGTGTGGGTTTGTTGTTAGGGCATGAAAACTTCACAGCTTTCCAGGGGGTTATAAAATTCAACTGAGTCCATCGCTGTTACATTGCTTACTAATGTACTTAAAACCAGCTGATTTAGTTACAGAGAGATGTACAAGCTGAAAATGTATATGAAAGAAAAGAATAATGGCAAATTGGAGACTTGTATGCAGGAGCATTTCAGGGAGCTAAAAGAGAACAGAAAGACAAGATGTTGTGGTATTCTCTAGTGTTTCACAGGAACTTTCCAGCCCATCTAGCCTGGTTTCAGAAAGGAAAGTAACATTTTTGGTTTACTGTCTGTTTAAATAATATGAATATGTATTCTGTGTTTGTAGAAAGAAACTTTTAAATCATTACTTAACCTTTAAAAACAAACATCTTTTTTTCAGAATGAAAAAAAGTTTAACTGTCCCTCAAATAAGGTTTTCATATTAAGAAAATATTAGAGATCTAGATTCTCAAAAAGCATTTGCTAGCTTAAATGTAGAGACTTTTAAGATCTTAATTTTTGGCTCATTGAGTGGTGTTTCTTTGTGCAGTGTGTCTTACATACAATAAAGCCCACTCACAGATTTCCCAAAGCCTCTGTGCAAATCCACGATTTCTGGCAGCTCATGTTTATTAAACAATAATGTGCTTTCAGTGGAATAATGTCAGTAGTGGACCAATGGCTGCCTGAGCAAAGCTCTGTGAAAAGAGAAAAGTAATAAAAAAGTAATAAAAAAATCAACTTTTCATATTGATTAGAGAAAACTAATTTACAGCAGCAGAATATAAATACAATCAGAATTCACATTTTAAGATGAGTATATGAGGGCAATATTGTGACATGTTTAACAGTTGTTCTCCCTGGTCATGGTGCTATTTGGTGTTTCTCATACAACACGGTTTAGTGCTAAATGTTTTCAAACCTAGAGGATGCTGTTAGAACTGGTAAGGGCAACACTGGAAAATGCTGCCATTACAAAGCAATAACAATAAGATTTACCATGAAGAATATTTACATTAAACAGCTTTCAGGAGTAGTGCAAAAGAAGTTTCTGGAATTGTGCTTGTGACAATGACCTCAGTCTTTGAAGATCCAGCTAGGATTGGATTATACTTGTTAACAGTACACATTGCAAGCTGTTGACAAGTAACACTTCTTTTTATTTTCCCTTTAAGATGTGTATTTATCTTGCATTCTGTATGTACCTTTCACCTCAAGATATATTTACTAAATAATTTATGACGTACTTGAGGTTCTCCCCACCCCCCCCCCCCCTTTGTGGCTGAACAAACTGCTGTATGTCAGCAGCATAACTTGTTACAACAAGAAATAAAGCACAATGCCTAGCTCATAATGCAGTGCAAAGATTTGAGAGACCAAAACCACACCTTTTCATGAGATTCTTGACATTGAAGTGGGCATCTCTACAAAGAACTCATTAGACTTACTGAAGTTGTTGGGACAAGAATCTCAATCTCACCTTAAGAGTTCTGGTTTCTGAAATACCCTTTAGTATAAATATCTGACCCTAAAAGAGTAGAGGATCAGAGATTACCTAATGAACTACTTATGCCACTTCCTGCTGCACCTTGCATTTATATGCCAGCTCCTGAAGCTGGCTATGTGATCAACTGTTGAACTTTGGGAAAAAGAAAACAGGAAAACAAGAAGATACAAGACATAAATTTTAAATCAATTTTTTTATTTTAATCATAAAATCAAAGAAAAAGTTTTAGGAACTTGAAAGTAAATCAAATTTGTAATAGTTCTCCTTTACAATAAATAAAGGTAACATGAAGATTTTTTTAGTACCTCAGGCTCATATGCAGTGATTTGGATCTTGAAGAGAAGAGACTTTTTTTAAGCATTTCCTGATACTATTTGCCAAACTCTGTTAAATGATTTACTGAGTAGTTTCAGGGCTCAGTTATCATACAGTTCTTTAGTGTTAATATATCACTCTTTCATCTGGAATGGAATTACTAAAGAAACTATTTCTCTTGATATTTTCTTGGAAACACTAATTATTTTTTGTGTCTCATGACATTTGATTCCATGATGGTTATTTAAAAATGTTTAAAAAATCTTTAATCATTTCCTCATCATTTCTTTCTTTGTCTTTCACAAGAATCTCTAATATTACCAGTAGCATTTCTGTTTCTCTGTGTCATTCTTTGCCTCATTAATTACCTCATTAGCTCTCCTTTTCCAAAAGGGAACCACATTTTTCTTTCAAATTGTGCAGTTTTTAAAAATAAGTAAAATAAATTTGGATCCATTTGTTCAAATCTTTATTCATCCTTTCAGACCAGAACAAATAATGGTGTATACTAAACTTGTCTTTTTTTTCCCTCAGCTGTGTCAGGTGGTCTTGTAGAAGATAATATTTGTCCCACCAAGCTTGCCTTAATTCCCTGTTGAACGATCTGCATTCACCAAGGCTCTGGTGTGGCTGAAGGAGGAATGTGTCTGGAGACAGGGGTTCTGTAATGTGTGACTCCAGGTCTGTTAAACCTGGGAGATGAGCAGGAGCTCACATCCAGGAACTCTGTGCTGTGCAGTCCTGGGAGACAGAATGGGTCTTTGGGCCCTTCAGTTCCCCTCTCTGCCATACAGGGCTGTGCTCTTTTTGCAGCTTTTGAGCTGTAAACATCCGAGGATGAGAGCTGTAATTGAGAAGCTGTCCCTTAGCAGAAGTCCAAACATGAGAGAAATTTTTTTCCTATTCTTTTGACTAAGAATTTTCTACCTTAATTTTTATTGAATTCTTCTGTTTTTTTACTGCCTATAACTCTAAATGTTATATGTGCAAACATGTATGACCCTGATAGTAGCTGCTTAGCCAGTTGCCTTGTGACTGCATATTCAGTGTCCAAAAAAGCCAGAGGAAAAAGCATATTACATTAGTTACACTGGTTTTGCAAGTAATTTTCTGAAATAACTTCTGGTGAAAAAAAATTTGAAACAGAACCTTTCCATAAGTTATAAAACGCAGTAATAAGAATTCATATTTTTAGTTTGTTGTAGCTTCTCCAAAATGTCTACTGTGTTGTTGCCTCAGAATAGCTTTCAAAGTAGGAGAACTGGATCTCAGCCATGATACTTGCAAAATAAAAATAAAATAAAATAAAAAATAAGATAAAATATAATTAATTTGTTGATCCTCCATGTTCTGACAACCTAGATTATCCTCACAATAACCTTTGTTATCTTTGATTTTAAAGTCCTATACATAAGAAAGTCAACTTTTTAACAAAGTTTAGTGTACTTGTGCTGGAAATTTAGAACATGTCTGACTGCTTTTCAAACCAGAATAGTGAATTGTGTTACAGCACTGAGAAGGTTGATACATAAAAGGAAAGCAAGGCCAAACAAATACATTAAGAAATCTTGAAATATAGGTTTATTAAGTTATGATACATGTTAGCTTTGTTAATTCATCAGAAAAGAATGTTTGGATTTTTTTAACTTAATGAGCACGTGAGTCTGTTTATCACATGCCTCCAAAATAAGTGTCTTTGCAGATGTTTGCTCTTTATTAAAAATACTTTTTCTCTCCTCAGGCCATGCTACACTATTAAATTAAACAATGAATTTCCTTGCTTATTACTGGAGACAGAACACTATGGCAGGCATAGCCCTGGCTATCCTGTGCATAGCACTAACTTTTTAATATCAATTTTAAGAGTTATTTACAGATTAGTAGTGTAGCACCTATATATTTTGTCTGGCAAAACTTTTTAATATCAATTATAGGAACTGTCTGCACATTATTGTAGTATTTCATTGATGCTATGTCTGGTTAGTCAAAAATGATCAGCTAATTTCATTGAGAGTGATATCTCTGTGATAAATACTATGAATTTTACTGACTGCTAAATGGTCTGGGTCACCTAGGATAATTTTATTACCCTACTTAATTATTAATCGTTTCTTTGTCCTAGTCATCCTTCCCGTATCTGCAACCACATTTCTTTCACAGTGAGTTTCAAACTTACAGTCATTCTCTAGTGTCAAATGTCATGTTGTCAGTGTTAGCTCAACAAACCCAGCTGTTTATGACTAGACAGTCTCTTCACAGACAGAATAAACACAAGCACTTCTGAAGAGGCTTTATAAAACTCTAGAGGGGAAAGGATTAAAGAAAAATTAGGAGTAACTGTGTAGATTAGAAACTTTGAATTAGAAAATACTCTGATACACGCCTGTTTATATTGCATTTCAACCTGAGGTAATTCACTATTAATGTCTTTTACAGTAAAAGCCTGAAGTCATTTAGTAATGTAACAATTAGTAAGGAATAATAATATCTTTTATCTGCATATCCTGTTAAAATGTGGTACATGCTGACTTAGCAGTGAAATTTTGCCCCCTCACCCCCCCTTTTTAAACTTAAAATGCTCAAGTCTGGGTCTACTGACTAGGCTCACACTTAGAGAGGTAAATACTACAAACCTAAAATGTCTTTGCCTTCCAGTCAAGGTTGGCCTATACTGATACTTGCAAAGTTAAGCAGTTATCACATTCTTTAAATATAGCTATCTTGCCTGGGCATAAGAAACCTTCAGCACAGTTTGCACACATTGTAAATTACTTCAAGCTCTTCCAAAGGAGAATTTTCTTGGCAGAGTTTCTACAATGCATACTTCCCTCATTAGAAGAATAGCTTAAAGAAATAGAGTATGAAACTACAAGAGATTACAAAGAGCTGTAAAATTAACTTTGTGTTTTGTGATAATGTCTGTGAAATCCTTCCTTGTGTGATACAAAGTGGACATGATGTAAAATCCACGATGTGGACAGAGCTGTAACAGAAGTCCTGACAGGGCACTGTTCTAGCACTCCATTGTATAGTGGCTAAGGATATAGACCTCCCTTGCAAAGAAATAACCCAAGGTAGTGCTGTCATCATGTAACATTCAGTTCCAGCAGTTTGCCTTAGTTTGAATCAGTCACCAAGGGAGGAAAGGGAAGGAATGCTGGGCATGTGTATAGTTGTGATAAGTAATTAGTGTTCATGCAACACTAGCATCCATCAGACTCTGAAGGAATGGAATGCAGTGCATCTGCAGTGAGGACATGTTTATGTTGGATTATCCTGTGCTAATGCAGAGTGTGATTTTCACCATTTGACTCCTGCCACTGTATCTCCTGTAGCTGAGCCACCTTACTGCAGTGGGCTGTGGCTTGAGGGCTTTTCAGATGTGGAAATGGTTTGCTTTGTGTATCTATAGTAACCAACTGCTGGCATTTTCACTAAGTGCTGTGCGTAAGCTGAGGGTGTGTTACTGTTATTATTATCTGCTTTATAACTTATCCCAGAAGGCAATGTAGTATGTGGAAGCTAAATTATCTTGAAATAAAACAGTTCATGATCTGAAGTGGTTAAGCTCTGTCAGCAAAGATGCTCGTGAAGTTTAATTGACCCTGCCAAAAATAACCTTTAGTATGTCTAGAGAGACCTTTGAGTGTTACAATTTACCTTTCTTGATCTGAGAACAGTAGAATATAGTGCCTGTGTGGGCTGTAATGCTCTCAGCGCCTGTATGGCAGACATACCTTTTAGTTAGTGGTACAGCAATCAGCAGGTGAATTTATATTTCATCCAAAACATCACTTATAATTAAACGTCTCATCTTCTCAGTGGTGCCTATTTCTGCTGAACTGTTTTTACTCAAGTAATAAACGTTCCTTTGCACATTTTAAATAGCAGTAAGTGTAGTGGCAGTTTCATATGGTAAAGGATTACTCAATGACAGCATCTTATCTTACCTATGTTTGAAAGGCAAGAGGTTTTATAATTATGAAATTACCCACTGAGCAAACTTTCTTAATAATGCTCTAAAGAAATTAGTATGAAACACAGGTAAGGGTAAAGAAATTATCAGAAACCAAAATCATCATTACATCATTTTTCCAAATAGAATACTTTAAAACTTGTCAAGCTGCCACTGCTTGGCTTGTGTCACTATGCCCCTTCCCTAGCACCCAGCCAAGTGTGCTTAGGAGCTGTTGATTTCCTCCTCATATGATTTTTAACTACCATCTCCTTTGGGTTGTGGTGGTAAAACATGAATGGACTTGGGAATAAAAATCGGGGGGGGGAACTACAATCACAAAGTCATAGAACGGTTTGTGCCATGAGCAGGGACACTCCACAGTAGACCAGGTTGCTCAAAGCCACATCCAGTCTTGAACATGTTGATGGGACATCCACAACTTCTCTGGGAAAACTAATAGTGATATTGTAATATTGAATTAGTGATGCTGTGATATATTGTGGTATTAGTGAATTAATGAAATTGCAATCAGTATCTGTTGATGTCATTGCATGTTTTCCAGTGAAATTAATTATGAAGCAATTCTGTCTCTCACTCTGTTTCCTGTCACCCTCTCTCTGTCACCATTTTACAACAGGTATTTTTCACTAAAGCCTATTTCTTAGTAGGTAATGTATTACAGAGCATGGAGGATCATGTTACAGAACTTGGTGCATATAAGTTTTATACCGTTTGTTCTAGGATGTGTTGTGTCTATAGAGAACTATTTTAACCTAAAAATACTTCATTACCTTAAAAGCAGACAATTTAAGAAGTCTTCCTGTATACTGTGACTCTGAAGTCAGGTGGAATTCATGTTTCAACACTCTGTAAATTATGTGGTTTTAAAACTGTGGTTAGCAGCTTGTTCTGATATTGGCATTCCATAAAGAAGTTAAAAGAGTTTTTGAGAACAGGGCATTATGTTCTCTGCCATGTCAAAAGTGAAAAGTGTAGCAAGTGTGGCTTCAGAACTGGAAGTTCCTGCCAGATGACACAGTTTGTATTAAATCATCCAACCCTTATGTTGATACTTTGCTGTGCTGTTCTGCCTTGTGCAGAGATGGTTAAAAAAGATTTGTCCTTGCAGGAAAAGGTATGTAGACTAAGCACAGTCATCCTGCTTTATTGCTGTAACATCAAGGCACTATAAAATCTGCAAACAAATCAAATGGGAGAGGAATCTACAGCTTTCCTAATTAATTTACATAATCTTTAGCTTTTCAGCTCAATTTTTATGTATGAAGATAGTACCTCATAATTTGTATGTACAATCTCTTACCTTTCCCATGCACATAATTTTCGAAGCATCAGGATTCCTTCACATCTTTAAATATTTTAATTATAAATCCCTCTTGATTGATTGAAATTAACATCCTCCTAAACATCCACAAGTAATGATTGTTGTTGATTAATTTTTATACCATTGCTGATAAAACAGTAGATGATGAGTGATCTAACAAGTATTTCAACATTCTGCCAGCAATTATTTGTTTAATTAAATTATACATGATAATGTAGGGTATTCACAGCTGCTCTATTTCAGCCTGCCTGTATGGGTGAATCTCAGTTTATATTCTTTTACTGGGTGCAAAATTCCTTATATTCAGTGAACTATTGGGTAAGAGTTGCATAAAATAGAACAGCTGGCCTTTTTAAAAATAATACCCTAGATTATGCAGAGATAACATTTTGGAGTTAAAATATCAAGCATTTTCCTGTCTTTTTTCAGTCTTGCCAGAACACACAGTACCAAACCTATAGTTCTCAAAGGCATGGAAAAGAATTTGGGTATGAGTTTTAAAACCTGCTGCCTTGCTGACAAGCATAAAGAATCGTGGTAACACCAATCAGCAAATCATCAGCTTCTGGCTCCTCCCAAGTTTCAGCAGACTTTCTACCAGACCTGTGAAGCAAGCTGTAAGAATTATCTTCCTCTAGGCACTAGGCAGCAGTTTCCAAGTCAGCTTGCTCCACAATGCCTGCAGAAACTTGGTGGAAACAGCAGATTTTATCTTGCCTAGGGATTATAGTCTGCTGCCTGAAAAGATGGTGTTGACAGTTTGTTCCCTATTAAAAATGCAGTAGTACAGTATACAACTTACGTAATCATCCACTCAGTAGTAGAACTCTTCAAAGCACATCCATACCAATCTCCTTTGAATATCAGCAGGGACAATAACCCTGCGGTTTATCTGAATACATCTGAGGAACAAATTCTGCTTTTAGGATATCCTTGATTGTTCAACTTCACTTATTCATTCATATCTGTATGTCAGATAGGAAGGTTGGAATCATCTAGACTAATCGCCGTGCTCAAGCAGTGTCAGCTAGAACCAGTTGCCTATGACCATGGCTGTGAACTTTTTAATACCTCCACAAGTGGAGATTCCAGAGCCTCTCTGGGCAGCCTATGCTGGTGTTTGGCCACTCTCACCAGTAAAGCATTGTCTTGTGTTCACATGGATTTGTGTTTTCATTGTGCCCATTGCCACTTGACCTATTGCTGGGCACTACTGGAAGGTCTGTCTCTCTCATTCTTTCCTTGCATATATTTATTGAATGATAGAATAATTTGGCTTAGAAGAGACCTTTAAAGGTCATCTAGTCCAACTCTCCCTGTGATGAGTATGGATGAAGCTGTGAGCTATACCCTTCCCCAATCCATTACACCCATTGATGTGCCTGAGCTTTCTCTTCTCCAGGCTGAAGAGTCTCAGCCTCTTCTCATACAACAGATGCTTCAGTCCCTTTATCACCTCTGTGCTATCCATTAAATCCATATCTCTTTTGTACTAGACAGTCCAGTTCTGGTCATGCAGTGCTCCAAACTATGGTCACGCAAGTACTTAATGGAGGAGAAGGATCATTTGCTGTGACCTATGGTCATTGCACTTCATATTACCCGGGATGATGTTGGCCTTCTTTTCTGTGAAAGTGCACTGCTAGTTTGTGATCATCTTGTCCACCAGGACCCCAGGGGTTTTCTCTGCAGAGCTTCCTTCCAGCTGGATGGTCCCTGTTGTATATGCTGCCTGTGTTTATTCTTTTCCCGCAGTTCTTTTCAGGACTTTGCATTTTCCCTTTTTAAAATTCATGAGGTTCCTCTTCAACCAACTCTCCAACTTGTCTAGGTCCCACATGGTAGCACAACTATGTAGTGTTTCAGCTGCTCCTCCCAGTTTTGCATCATCTGTGAACTTGCTAGGTGCACTCTGTCACATCATTTCAGGTCATTAGTGAAGCTGTTAAACAGTATTAACCCCAGTAATGATCCCTGGATTACACCACTTGTGACTTGCCTCCAACTGGACTTTGTGCTGCTGATCACCACCCACCAAGCCTGGCCATTCAGTTAATTTTCAAGCTGTGTATTTATCTAGCCCTTAATTTGTCAGCTTGTCTTTGAGGATGTTATAGAGTCTGCCTTAACTCAAGTTGAGGTGAACAGCTTAAGCTGCTCTCTCCCTCATCCAACAAGCTGCTCATCTTGTAAAAGGTTATCAGATGGTTAAAGCATGATTTCCCTTCTGCAAACTTATACTGATTGCTCCCAGTCTCCTCTTCCCTTCATGTGTTTGGAAATGGTTTCCAGAATGATTCTCTCTATCATCTTTCCATGGATATAAATTGCTGCTATTTATTTACTTCCATTTTGGCTTTTCAAGACAGTGGATAGACCAACAGGAATGTGTGAGACTGACTCCCTTATTCCATTCAGTTGGATATCACCTTACCAGAAGTGTATCTGTAGAACATACTGGTGGGTTTGTGTGGGCAAGTGAGGTATTGCCTACCAAACTAACCATGGCAGAGAGGGAGAGAAATTGGAAATCTGTCAGAAGATGCCTCAAAACAATGCATATTCTGATAGCTAATTTTCATTTGCTTGCTAATCAGGGAGGACAAAGTCATTCCTGCTGCTCAGACATTTGGGCTTTTTTTAGTCTTTCTCTTATCATAAGTATTTCTTCTCTTTTAAGGTATGGGTCAATCAGACAAGAATCTAGGTGGAAGGGCAATCAGACAGAATGAAATTATGAGGCTTTATAAATAATCCTGTTTTCAATATACTAAATATACCCAGAGAACTTGTGTGATTGGATGTGATGTATGTAAAATCAAAGGTCTAAGAGAAAAACTGAAGACAACTGTAAGAAGCTTTTTTGTCTTGTGATTGAAGACTAGAAAAAATGAGTTTCATATCAGCACCACATTGTCCATAGTGTTGAATGGCCTGGTTACTGAGGGGAACGAAAAAAATTATCATGAAAATTAGCTCTACGGGCCAGATAGAAAAAAATAACATTTTAATTATTACTATGGCTTGTTTGTGAAAATGGTAAAAAGAATTCATTTCACAAGCCTCCAAGTGCTTTCTTACTGTTTTTAGCCTTTAGGTCCCTTCTTGAAGTTTAGAATTGGCCCACGTATTTTCAGAACAGGTTCTGATTTTTTTTCCCTTCTATTCTGATTATTATCTTTGTCCTGCTTTCTTTTGCAGTAGTTTACGATTTAGCTCAGTATTCCATCTGCTCTTCCTGTAGTACTAAAATAATACAAATAACACATTTTTCATTTTTTCATGAACAACTCGATTCCATCTCTTGCAGAGTGACTGCATGCACAGAGGTGGGGAGTTTATCACCATGATGAAGTTATTTGATACAATGAACAGCTGGGAGATGAAGGCTCATATGTTAAGAGAATGTTTTATCTCATGTTGTGAGACATATTGAATATGGAAGAGTAGCTGGTAGTTTAAGGTCAATCCTTATATGAAAGTCAGTGCCTACCAGGAAGTGCCTAAAACTTGTACAAGGCAGGTTCATCTCCGTTTTCTCCTTGTGCTCAGAGCTGCTCTGTTTCAAAGAGTGCTGTTTAGGAATGCTGCTGGATGCTCTCATACTAGGAGATTATAATACAAAGTTTGTAGTGTAAAGAATCAGCTGAAATTCTGCAGTTGCACTGGAGGATTATTTTTAAATAAGTTCTCAGCTGGCATAATGTGCAAGCATTGCTTTATATTTTGGAAAGGCTATCTACCTTTGATTCAATACCATCCTACATCTTAAAATTTGCTGTTGTGACTACTACTATGC